AAGATCATCCGTCCCGAAGCCAACGGTGGGATTTCGCGGCAACTCTTCGTGACATCCACGCGCTCGTCTTTTATTCGTTGGCCGCCTGAGACGCATCATCCTCTGCGTCTACACAACGCTCTCTCGCCCGCGCGGCAATCCGTGCGATCCCGGGGGTCTCCCGATCTCGGCCGAACGGCACCGTTCGCGCGCGAGGAATGCTAACGCCGAAGTTAATCCGGTTAATCGGAACAGCGGGACATCCCGACGCTCTCTGTCTCGCATCTGGTGCACCGATCAAACTCGCAAATCCGGCGACTAGAGCCGATTAGAGAAACGGTCCGACCTTATTCCCGCGCCGACTCGTTAGCACAACAATCGTTATCTTACCCGTCACACAAACACAATCGACGGGTTCAATCCGTTTTCTTTTCTTTTTTTTTCCCCCGGATTCCCGGAATAAAATTACTACTTATTTATCAGACAGGAGTCTGTGCTCACCATATCACAGTAAGTATGGAGAGATGGTCGAGTGTGCGTCTGCTTTTCTCTTTTTCTCTCTCTCTCTTTCTCTCCATCTCTCTCTCTCTCTCTCTCTCTCTCTTTCTCTCATTCTCTCTCTCTTTTGTGTGGTGAAGTTTACCGGCAAGTTGTTGGCTTGCGGGTAAAATCTCGGACGACACTCTGGCGGGTGTGTCTCTGTCTAACTTTGAGCAGGACTCTTTCGCGCACACTGCGACATACTGGGCTCATTAGGCTAGCCGTTAGTGTGTAATGTGGGCTGTGGGCCGCTCTGTTTGCCGTTGTGGTCGGGTAGAAAAGCAGAGTCTGGAGAGCGGGGGTCCGAATCCGAATCTGTAGACCCTTCAACCTCCGAATCTGCAAGTTTGACTGGCACATAACAATAAGTATTACCATGTTACATACTGACAGAGATCAGGTGTGTGTGTGTGTGTGTGTATGTGTGTGTTTATGTGTGTGTGTGTGAAGATACAGAGACAATAACATTTACTGTTCGTGACCTATTTACACACGTCACTTCGGTTAGCATCACCGGCCGGTATACTTCTCGGAAGCGCTACAACTCTGGCTTTTGATCGTCAAAGTTTATGCAAGGTTCTTTGGCATGTGATAACCGCATTATCATTATCATTCGCGAGATATGAACGGTGGTGATGAATCACACTCCCCTGTCTACTTACATGGCGAGCTCGACTGAGGAGAAAAGAGAGCAGAACGGCTGAGCAAATTAATTAAATCGACGAAATTGAAGTTTCTCGTCAAGTGTGTGTCGCTTCGCCGATTACCGCGAACCGGAGGGAAATCTCCTCGATTCTCCTCAGTGTTGAGCTTTTCGAGGTACGCTAAAACGAATCGATCGCCTTCGGCGAACAAACTCGGTCCAGTCTAAGAGAGTCTACTAGCCAGAAGGGTGGGTGAATTCTCAGTTACAATTCAAGGAGATGTATCGTTCGTACGTGTCTTGAGGTTTATTAAAAAATAAAAAGTTGCAAAAAACACACACGAAAACGGCGAGGTCAGACGTACAAGACAGGATCTCCCGTACTAGTAAGGCGAGTAAAAGAGCGTGTGCATGTGAACAGGCTTATCGAAATCCGGTCGTTTCTCGTATTCCTGTTCTCTCATTTCACGTATCACACGTGTATGTATATGTATATAGGTAGGTAGGTAGGTAGGTAGGTAGGTAGGTAGGTAGGTAGGTAGGTAGGTAGGTAGGTAGGTAGGTAGGTAGGTAGGTAAGTAGGTAGATAGATAGAGAATTAATATTCCACGTCCGTGTATGCGTGATGAAGCGACTTATTCGCGCTATATGCTAGCTCGTGCACAACCACCTCATCCGCAGTGCCAATTGTTCTGAAAACATCAGTTATACAAAACGAACGGTATCACATGGTGCTCGATGAATCACGTCAACGACGGCCCTTAATTCTTTAAAACAGAGACAGAGGGTTCTTAATCAGAGATCGAAACAGCTATGACTTCGCGCGCCCAGTTCAACTCCAAATGCCGCGGATACGAGAAGATGACTTTGCTTTTCCCGGCGCAGTCGCGGCTGTTCCGACCATCATTTTAATGCATTTGCGGCATCTTGCAATTTCACCTCTACGAGAGAGTGTAACAAGTTACGACCCCTGTGCTCTTAACCATTAAAGTTGAAACAAGCGATTATACGAGACAGAAAAGGAAAGAGAGAGAGAGAGAGAGAGAGAGAGAGGGAGAGAGAGAGAGAGAGAGAGAGAGAGAGAGAGAGAGAGAGAGAGAGAGAGAGAGAGAGAGAGAGAGAGAGAGAGAGGAGCAGACTCGCGAAGAGGCAGCTCTGAGTTTACGACCATCTTGAAGGTGGGAAATATCGAAGGAAATGTTTTCTTTTTCTTCGTAATTCAAAAGCGTGTCGTTCGATCTGGACGGTGGTTCGCGATGAAAAATACCTGAGGTAAAGAGAAAAAAGCGCATGGGGGGGAGGGGAGGGGACACATACAGATTGCGAGGAAGAATCTTCGAAGAACTTGACGAGGTGTTCAGATTGCGAGTTTCTTCTTCTTACACTTTCGGACCAATTTCGAGTAACCGATTGGGAAACGAGATTCGAAGGGAACGACTCTATATCGTTCAGCTGCAAAGTTCTTTTTTTGTCGACTTGAGATACACGAGAGTATCACGTTATCATGGGACACACTGGGATGCTCCGGAGTCACCAGATGTCCTATTGCCATATAGATAAACAAAGTTGGGGAGAGTATATCGAGAACAAGGCATTAATCAGGCAAATCATAGGTTGATTAAGATTTCTGACAAATTTGGAAAATGTAAATGAAAACTCGTTCTGATTTGAATTAATTTCAATTGGATTCTAATTCAAATTCTAACTGAATTGAAAACTGATTCTAATTCTAACTGAAGATCCGATCATGAAAGGATATTTCGTAATTCGCAAAGATGTTGAAAAAAAAAATGTCAAATGACATTTGGTATTTCCGGGACATCTTGTACCTGCACCTGCACAAACGTCAGAATCGCCGGGATCCTTTTGCGCCATCGGGCGCACGTCGCGCGACCAGCTCGTACTTCAACTACGCGACGAGGAAACCGCAAAGTCCAGGAATGAGCGACGTTCACAAACGTACCGTTTGTCTGCCCGACGAGCGCGAAAACGTCGCGTTACATCACGTTATAAAGGTCACGTTTTATCAGTTTTCTTGAACCTACTGAGAGAGTCAATGAAAGACAGGATGAAGCTTCAACAGGAAATTACATCATAGAACCAAAAGAGATAGTGAGTGAGTGAGTGAGTGAGAGTGAGTGAGAGAGAGAGAGAGAGAGAGAGAGAGAAAGAGAAAAAGAGAAAGAAAGAGAGAGAGAGAAAGAACAGTCGACGAGACTTGTGCATACATATAAACGTGAGACATGGTGATTGGTGTCGCGTGACACCAATTCCCAATGCGTGTCGATACAATGCAATATCTAGCCGAATCGTAACGTCTCATCTGACAAGAATCAGCAAAGCACACGCACCTATTAGAATCTTGAATAACAACCGGTGTTGTGCGTCCATCTTGTTTGTCTGTGATAAAAATTCCATCCTTGTTTTCCATTCTACGTGAAAATTCACAATGTTTGAGAGTAAACGATACGCAAATACTCTCGCAACTCGTTCGTTCGCGTAATCAATGTGTTACAGATCGAGAGAGAGATATTGCACATGGTATCGCATGTGAATAATAAAAATACAGGGAAGCAGCAATTATAGCTCGAATTGCGCTCGATAGAAAGCCTATCGTGAATACCCTGCTTCGAAATTAGCGGTTAAAGACGTGGGAGGGAGGGGGGAGGGTCAAGGAGGAGGAAGAGGAGGAGGAGGAGGAGTTAGAAGATTTGCGGCAAGTGTCGGAGTAGCTCTGGAATAAAAAAAAAAAAAAGAAAAAAAAAGAAAAAAAAAAGAAAAAAGCGACACGAGCGAGTACGACGCCGCACGCGTTTGGATCGAGAGCGACTTTCTTGGGTCACGGCGGGGCATCTCTTTTGTCTTTCCTTTTCTCTTTATTGTTGAGCGAGCGCGAGGGAGAAACGCGCGCGCAGGAAGCCAGCGAAAAGGAAGCGCGCGTCCGATACAAAATGGTATCCGATAATAAGTTTCGGGCTGCGAGGTAGACAGGGACAGGCGCGGGGTGGTTGTTGCGCGCAAACGATGGTGATCAGTGGTGATTTTGGTGATGGTGAATTGATGATGATCTTTGTTGTTGTCGCTAATTGCTGGCGGAGGATAAACGGCGAAGAGAGAAAGAGAGCGGTCGGTGTGATGTGAATTAAAGAAACACGCAACACACGTCGTTTTTTGTGAATTTCACAAGTACATTGTTATTACACATTTATATCCATTATCATTATTATTAGCATTATTGTGATTATTATTTATATAATCCTTAATCCGAAAACACGACGGTTCTCAGCGAAAAGAAAGAAGAGACGTAGAGGGAAGGTAAGAGAAGAGAAAAAAAAAACGGCTTATACAAGTGTCTACGCTCGAGAAAAAACGAAAGTGCGATTATTACATACTACAACTCGGGCATAATTAACGACGATTATTACTGTCTCTCGTCAATGTCGGGTAATCCGTGTTATCCTTCTTTTCTTTCTTGTTTTTTTTTGTTTTTCCTTCCTTACGTCGAAGTTAATTCTACGTTAATAAAATGTGATTACGTTACTATATACCCTAAACGATAAATGGTCGCACGGCCCACTTAAGTTTCCCATACGCAATCGACGCATTCTGCGGATCCACACGAATCCGATTGTATAATTATTATTTCTTTCTTTTTTTTTGTTTTCCCCGTAACGTTGAGAATTGGATAATTTTCAACAGTCAAACCCGCACGCTCGCTATCTCCCACCCTTTTTTTTGCTTCCTTACTTGAGGAAGAAGAATTCTCGGTAAAAGTCACTTTTTCTTTTGCGAAGCACGAATTATAGGATCGTCCTCCTCTATAGTCATTCTCGCGAGTATGTCAAACATACAAACAATGTCTCTAATCGTTCGTTGTTTACGACGTTTACGACGGATCGACAAGCAGACCAATCATATTCGCGCGAGTAGCGATTCTGACGATCGTGTATTTGTAAACGTATTAGTGTATACATACATTAAAAAACACATCGATACATACATAAGAATATATACGGTGCATATACTGAAAGAATACATATCATAACGATAATCCCGTTTGGGACAAAGGTGCGTTTACGTTATCAGAGTAAATGATTAATACGTGTACAAATACATTCTCGAGTATATCATACGCGAGTGTATAATTTTCCCGGAGTATATTGTTCTCCATACAAAGGCATCCGTGTCAAGACTAATAACAGAAGATACTGCTCGTCGCGACGACACAAACGCGTCTCATAATTCGTCGGTTTCGTCAAATTCACGATACAATATCACTCGCTCTCTCGAAGGGTGCAGCGTATAATTCCGCATTTTCTCTCAATATTTGGCCCTCCTGGAAGGGGTCGCGCGCGTCGCGTGTATTCGTCGCTGGTGGAGGATCCACTCGGGATAAACAACAGAGTCGTCCTGCGAGACCGCGATGACGCGCACGCGCGCGCGATTCTTCCTTTCACATGCGAACGAAATGGCGACGCATATCCTCCCTATCTGGCTAATTCGCACAATACCGCACAATTCCTCTCTCAATTGCATGCATCATCTCTCCTGACTTGACACATTTCGACGCACGTTCGCGCGCTACTTCTCCCGACGAGAGATCCGCCGTTTCGACGACATCCGATGACATCAGGAAGAAGATCGACGGGAACGCCTCGTTTTTTCTCTCTCTGTCGCGCGCGAAATCGCGTGTCCACGTGCATCGCGCGCGTGCGAAGAGATGGAGTCGGGATCGGTGAGATCCTAGTATCTGGATATTGTTTCCTTTATTCTTTCCTACACGCGACAAACACGCCGATATACATGGCGATATCGGGGTGTGTGTTGTGTGTCTGTCGATCACTCATCGAGAGCGACTCCCGCTCAGAGAGATGCGACATGTACGCGCGCGACACGGAGGGACCGCGTCGTCTATCGATTGTTGCGCAGCGGCGAGAAGCAGAAGGTGTGCGTCATCGTCACAGAAAAAACCGAAAGCACCACCCGGTCGGGTATGTGTGTATGTGTTTGTTTGCCGGATGGTGATGGCGCGTCACCGCAAGACGATACGGCTCCACCGGGACGCTCGTCGATCCCGAACAAAATGAGAAAGATAAAAAAAAAATAAAAAAAAAGAGAGAGAGAGAAAAAATACGAAAGTCGAGACTTTGAACGTCCACGTGATATTTCGAGGAACAAAAAAAAAAGAAAAAAAAAAAGGAAAAAGTAACATTTACACGCGAGGAACATTAATTGATCGAGGATCGAGGAGTTTCCGCGGCGAAGCTACACGTATATATCATCGAATCCTTAAACGACGAGGATAATCCTAATTTTTTGCTTTTGTACAAGTGTGTATGAAGCAGGGAGGGAGAAATAGAAAGAGACAGAGACAGAGAGAGAGTGAGAGTGAGAAAGAGAGAGAGAGAGAGAGAGAGAGAAAGGGTTGTGCGGACAAGAGGACGCGGGGAGATCGATGAGAATCTCCGGGAGAAGAAGAGAAGGTCGAGGGGGAGATGGAGGGGGGTCACCGGACGAATGAGGGGAGAATTCGTGTAATTCTGAAAAAAGTTTCTGCGTGATTACTGTGACTTGACGGTTAAGAGACTTTTGTGTGTTCTGCGATGCATTCCTCATTCTCCGTATTATTACTTTTGGTTTGGCTTTATTTTCCGTTTAATATAGAGCGCACTGTGCTCGGGTAGCATTTGTTCGCATAGAGCGGGCGGCAGATCTTCGCGCGTGCAGATCAACAGACGGCCAAGAGTATCTCGGTTCCGAGGCTTCCTGCTAGCCGACGGATAGACGACCCGACCGACGAACAATAGAGATCCGACCGATCCGAGCCCGACGCGACGATTTAGTATGGTGCGAACCGGCGCGACGGCGATGGGCCTCGTAATCCCGGTCTGGTAACCAAAATTAAGCCACGTCAGTCACACGAGATCGATAGGTACGTTCAAAGCACGGGCAATTACAGATTAAATATGTATAAAAATGATCTATATATACATATAAATATATCTAAGTGGTAAGAGAGGGAAGAAAGAAAGAAAAAAGAACTGAAGGGAAAGAGAGACAGCACGTAGAGAGAGAGAGAGAGAGAGAGAGAGAGAGAGAGAGAGAGAGAGAGAGAGAGAGAGAGAGAGAGAGAGAGAGAGAGAGAGAGAGAGAGAGAGAGATCGAAAGATTGCAAGTAGTAGACCAAGATGAGATTATCAGAAAAGAAAAAAGAAAAGAAAGTGAAATAAAAGTAGAGTAGAGGAATGGATATACAGCAGCTCGGAGAATACCTCGTTTTCATCGCTAACTTGTCGTTAATTCGTTCGTTTCACACTAATGGGGAATAATCGCGCAACTCAGACTTCAGATGTTTCCTTCTCAAGGTTTTTCTTTTTCTTTTTGTTTTCTTTACGAACGCTCTTCTTTATGAAACGCCGTATCTCCGTAACGCTGTATTGCACTGTCAATGACGTTGATTGTACTTCACACAGCATACGGGATACGGTAAGATAGATAGCGCGCGCGCTCACGGGCGAATCACACAGCGACCTTTTTTTTTGTCTGACAATCATACAATTATGTCGCGACATAAAGAAGAGAGCAGTTATTAGTTCTACATATACGTGTATTGCGTGTACGTATACTATACATACTGCTCATGTATAGCATCTTCCATCTGTACATGTAGAACTAACACTTGAAACGCGGTTCACATGAGCAAGGATTTCAATTCGGGCATGGTGGTATTTTATGTGACCCAATGTCAGTTTTACTCTACTTACCTACGTTCCTCGAACGAATCTCGGCTGAAGTCCTCGTACATGCCTCTACTACAACAGCGGTATAATAAATAATCGAATCTACCAATGGTATCAGATCAACATATACCATATACTGGCTCCCTTGTCCAAGGCTTAACTTTGTGAATTAGTCCCTGTATATTTACGTGCAAGGAAATGAGAGATAGAGATAGAGAGACAGATAGATAGATAGATAGATAGAGAGAGAGAGAGAGAGAGAGAGAGAGAGAGAGACAGACAGATAGATAGAGAGAAAGAGATAGAGAGAGATAGGGAGAAAGAGAGAGAAAAAGAGAGGAAAAGAGAGAGTCGCGTGCCTCGCCTAATATGACTGGTCGAGTTGGGAATCAGGACGGAATCGTGGCCGTACAGCTCTATTGCGAGAGAAAAACGATGATGAGAACCTAACGAAACTGTACGAAAGTTGTTACACGTTACGTCAAACAAAGTTTTGTCGCGAAACCTTCTATCTTTTTACCATATCGAACCACCCACCTACCCACCCACCCACCCACCCCCACACACACACACACACACACGCGCGAGTAAAGAAGCAACTTCGGCTTTTACTGAGGAATGTTGACAAGCGCATCCGGGAGGCCTTCTTCGATGTACGATTAGAAATCGTTCGCAGAGATTCACGAGCGCAGAGACGCAACATAGATATCAGCTAGGACTTACGAGAGAGAAAGAAAGAGAAAGAAAGAGAAAGAGTTGAATGGAATGGAGTGCAAGCATCTAGTGATTTGCCATACGCACTGTACAATTCGATCGACACGGTTCGAGATACTAACTTGCCAAGAGGGTTGTGGAAGAACAGGGAGGGAGGAAGAAGAGGACGACGGAGAACAAAGGTGTAGCTAGTCATATGAGGCAGGCAGCGGTAAGACTGGATTGTCACCCATGCGACTTGCAAATTACAACGCTTCGCAAAAAAACGAGAATATGTACGTGTAAGTGGATGAATTGCTGTAACGTGTGTATATTTGTGTGTGTGTATGTGTATGCGCACGTTGTGTTGTATACGAGCCACTTGCAGCCCAGGCTGGGATTGTATGGGGAGTAATAAGGTAACGTGCAACAACAAATTCAAAGTATTTAGAAAAACTGAGAAATTCAATCAATTCTGTTTCTATTTGAACGTTTTGCGAGTGGATTTACATACATGAAGAGCTTTGAACCTCGTGAGTAGAAGTCAGCTTCAAGAACTATGGATATGTGAATTTCATGAAACACAATTTTTGGAATGCTCTCGCACGCGTGAGATTATTTATTGTCGTCCCGTGTAGAATTTTGACATTCAATCTCGGACCGCGAATACCGATCCAGATTACCGCGATACTTAGAACGCAATTTGATTTGATTTACACGCCGACGATAGTCCGATTCTATGTGGGCATAGCAAATTTTCTCCGTCCATTGGCACAATTATATCACCGATAAAAAAAAAAAAAAAAAAAAAGATCGAAAGAGTACGTTGTATAATTCAATTACATCAGTAAATTAGATTTTATGTTAAGTACAATTGTGAGATATGTGTATATATATATATATATATATATTACACAAAAATAGAGCAAACTTCTCGTTTAATTTTATATAAATGTTCGAAGAAAGAAACAAAACAAAAAATATAAAACACTATTCACTTAAGATGTACTGAAAGTTATCGACAATTGAAACCGCGAGAACTAATATTTATTGCCGAAGGCTTTATATGTACTGCAAATTGATAGAGAAAAAAAGGAAAAAAGATAAGCTCTCTGCGTCAAAGTAAAATAATCGAATTGACATTATTGTATAAGAGGGAGAAAAAGAAAACAAAGAAATTCCGTTATACTTATGCGTGTGTTCGTAAAGTGGACGAAACTGTATTGAGAAAATCGCAAAAGGGAATGCGCCGATGTATGTACAAACTTACTGTCCAATTCGTCTGGAGAGCTGGTTTCTACTTACGACACGTTTCAAAGACAATCGATTCGAGGCGCCATTCCTGAAAATCGCGCCAGCCCTTTCTTTTCTTTCGTATCGGTTCTTTTTTCTCTTTTGCTTTCTCTATCTACACCGCACGAGAGTTCGTTTTAAAATTGCAGATCGTATCCTGGCTCGCGCGGATCGGTAGTGCGATCACAAGAAATTCTAGTTCGCATTCCTTAGGAACGTTTCTTCATCCCAGGCCTCCGCGCCACTCCCGGTCGAGTGATGTACGTAATAGGGAGCGCTTGAAACACAAAGGATTTATGAGAGACATACAGGCCAATCTCGCAGTTAATGCCATGGAACAAGAGAGTCTATGAACTAGGACATCCCTAGAAGAGCAGTCGACATGTTCAAGGCACAATCAGTCGAGATCCGAGTAGAGGCCCACCGAGGACGCAGAGAGACAAATATGCGGGCTGCTGTGTATTTTTTGACGCGCGTTGGTTGCAGCGACAAGAACGAGGCGTGAGACTACTCGCTAACAAAATTGAGTCAAAGACTTACTCTTGTACGACTTGAACGCTGACCCGGGACTGTCTCTCTAGGGTTGCCCGCGTTCATGGACAAAGATGGTACGCAGCCTGAGGTGCACTGAAATTTAGAATGTACAGAAACGTCCAAGCGTCATATATTAACATTTCACTACGACGGAGTCTTGCACTCATGTGGGCATCGGGTCGACACTCGAGCGTGTGCGTAAAAAAAGTACTATTATTTTTTAGAATCTTAAAAATACGACAAGTAATGATATGCGTAATAAAGCGATAAAAACAGTCATGCCATGTGTTGCCGCGCAGTGATATCGTTGCAGCACAAGTGTGCGCGACGATCTTCTCTTTCACACGCAAAATTTTACTAGACTTCCGACAGCAAAAGTAAAAAAAAAAAAGTAAAAAAAAAGAAAAGAAAAGGAAGAAAAAAAAGATAAGATCAGACAAAACGTAAAAATGCTAAAGTAGTAGTAGTAGTAATAGTAGTAGTAGTAGTAGTAGTAGTAGTAGTAGTAGTAGTAGTAGTTTGGTAGTTTTTAACAAAAGACAACAAACATAGGTCGGAAGTATTTTTGTAAGTTTAATATTGTAAGAAAGTCTTGTATGAAAAACATTGCAAAAATTTCGCGATCCCGTTGTATATAGACAGCCTACCGTAGACTTAAACCACTCGCTATTTTGTGACAAAACTATAAAACAAAAAACCAAGAGTTACTGTAAGAAAGAGACAAGTCGAATCGAATATGGCGAGAGAAAGAAAGTGTACGATAGACTAGAAAAAAATGTCGACGAATCACCGAACCCCAATTCGCATGAGCTGTTAATCCAGCCTGGAACGTTCACAATGTTAAGTCGGACGAATGGGCAGTCGGCTACGCCGGGTACCTACTCACCTGAACCGGCCGTTGTTGCCACTCGGAGGGGGTGATCGGCGGCTGAACATGCCATACTCGTTTCCGCGGGAAAAGCCAGTGTCTCGCATGGATCCCATACCTAGAGGAGGCATAGCAGGCATTGGGTCTCGTCTTGGTGGTAGAGGTGGCATTGTCATTGGTGGAAAGTCTAGCCCGCACATGGAAGTTCCCATGTCACAGGGCCCTGTCATACCCGTAAACCGCCTCTCGTAGAGGTCCCTGGTGTCCTCGAAGCCTCTTCTGTCGTAGTAGCTTTCGTAGTCCTGTTGGCATGAACAAAACCCCGGCCGAGAATTAATAGACGGAAGTGTATTCCGGAGATCCATCAGCAGCCGTGTTGATCGTTCGTGAGCGCGGACGACAAACCCGGCTGACCCCGGGATCACGCATTATGCGACGGCGATGATGCGCCACTGAGACGTGACGAGAGAAAGGAAACTCACCCCAAAGCGGCCACCACCCATGAGACGGTCCCTCAGGAATGGCGGTGGCGGTGGCGGCGGATATGGGTCGCGACCAAACATTCGGTCTCTGTATCCATTCCTGTCCGGTCCACCGCCCATTCCACCCTTGGGACACTCTTTCGACCAGTGACCGCCTCGGCCGCAACGATAGCATTGTTCCGGATCACCCATTCCTGGCCTCTGTCGTACACGGCTGGTAGATATTTGGACTTTCATCGGCTGTCCATCGACGATTTGACCGTTTAGCTCCTTAATGGCGTCATTGACGTCGCCGGTCGCCTCCAGATGAACGAATCCGTAGTTCCTCACGATGTCACACTCGACGACTGTGCCGTACTTGGCGAAGAGCTCTCGCACTTGCGGCGCCTTCGTGTTATCGGTGAGATTGCCAACGAAGATCTTAGTCGTGGGAGTGTTGGGTCCCTTACGACTCTTCGCGGCCTCGCACTTTATTGGTTGCCCATGAACCATATGTCCGTTCAGATTCTGTATCGCATTACGCCCTGCCTCCTCGTTCTCCATATGCTGTGCCGGACAATAACACGTGTAATTTGCATTAACATTATCATCCGATTACGCTCCGGCTGGAGACCTCGTCTACAATATTGCACATACACACACACACACACGGTTACTTACCACGAACCCATAATTCTTTACCACGTCGCACTCAACGACTTTTCCGTACTTCTCGAACAGCGGCTTAATGTCAGCATTTGAGGTTTTGTCGGCTAAATTACCGATGAAAATTTTAAACGTGCCAACGCTGCTAAAACCCGGCATTTTGTGGCTCGTGCGAGAACCTAAGTGTTACAAAGATGTACGTTTAATACAGCGACACACACACACTTACACACGCTTCTATTTGTCTCGTTTCATTGCCTATCCTTTTCTATAGCTCAGTTCAAGTTCACCTTCAAATTAGAATATGATTACTTTTTCTACATGCACTAACATTAATCTCACTTAAATTTATTTGCAACAATAACTCTGTTTTTTCTATGATGGTTCAGAAAACCAAATACTGGAAATCTGGGACGATGAAACTTTGTCCCTTTTCTTTTCGATACTAGATTGTACGTTTATCTCACTCGCGCGAGCGGCGCGAAACATGCAATCAAGTTCAATTAAAAAGAACAGAACCGAATACAAAAAAATTGCACATAAATTTGTAACGGGTAGCAAGCAACAACGTTGTTTTGCCACTTCTTGCGCGACCAGTGATCAGACCATACTTCGCGCAAATTTCTAGAGACGCACGAGTGTGTGTTAATTACGCTCCTGGCGCGACGTGCGAAGTTATTCCCCTCCTCTGACGAATTAACCCCCACCACATTAAATCCGCCATGGATTTCTACGGACGCGCTAGGCGGCTGCGTCGCGGTTGCCGAAGCGAGACGCAAAGCCGGCATGATAGCCGGCTAGCCGTGGGTCCTAAACGTTACACTTACACACACACGCGAATCGATCGCATTTATGCGAGTGTGAGCGACGCGAAATCATCTTTCCGTACGATCCGCAGCGTCGGAGGCTCGAACTTACCCGAAGTAACACCGCGCCTTCCGTATCCCGCCGCGACTATATATTAAGCTACACCAATCGTATGAATCTTTGTTCATCAAGGTTCATCACATGTGCAATACATGTACGATCTAAAAATTCGCTCTACGAATACAATATCTCGACTACTTCGAATGAATGTGGCGTCCAATTTCTTCTCCCTTTTTTCCCCCTCTCTCTTTCTCTCTCTCGCTCGCTCGCTCGCAACGCTCGATGACGCATCCCGAGATGGCGCCCTTTCGGCGATAAATAGAAAAAACGAACGCGGTTGTTTAGAGCTCGACCCTGACACCTCGTATTTCCCTCCCTCCCGTGAGAAGCAATAATCGTCAATTAATCGCGCACACGAGAGAGAGAGAAACGCATCACCGCGCGCAACCACGTCGTATCTCACAGCATACTCGAGACGCCGCGCGCTCCCGGCATAACCGCGCGTCGCGAAAGGACGCCATAGAAGAGCGCATGGCTGCGAGAGGAAAACGCTGCACAACGCGGCGGCGGTGAAAGTACCTGCGCGCAATCCTCGAACACCGGGCGTTTCTCGCGCTATTCGACAGGCGGACGATGCTCCACGTAGCGCGAGCGATTCATACGACATACGCTGGGAATTAGTCGTGCTCTACTCACCCGAAACAACGACGATCAAACGGACACTCGGAAACGACGCTACCCTTCGTGGCGCACGACTTTACACAAGAGAACGCAACTTAGCAATGGCGTCGTGCTCGTCGCGCTTGTTCGGCTCGCGTCGGCCAGCCTCGGCTTGTGACGACACGATGCGCCGAATGTTCGTAAACCTATCGGAGGCGCGCCGGCGGCCGAACGTCGACGGAGGCGCACGAAACGCCGGATGGACGAACGCGGGAGAATCCCGATACGCCGCGCGCTTCTCTCTCTCTCTCTCTCTCTCTTTCCCTCTCTCGCAGTCGCCGTCGCGGCCGCCATCTTTCCGAATTATTCAATCGGAAACGTCACGCTCGCCCGTCGTGTGTGCTAAACGGAGCGGGAAGGGAAGATACATATACGCGCGTATGTACGTCGCGCGGCCTGCTATTATTACGTGTCGCTTTTTCGCCGTGAGGAATCCGCAGTCGATGTGCTAGACGATAATGGCGCACGCCGCCGATCTTTCCCTCTTTCCCCACAGGATAAAATCGATGAGAGTCTCGGCAGAAGCGAGGGGAGGCTCTCTCGCTTTATCTCACGCGGCACCGATAAATTTATTTATCGGGCGTAATTGTGCAAAAGATCGCACGCGACTCGACAGTGACAGATAGTCGCGAATAAAATGCTTAATCTAATCTCCGACATCAAAGGCGTCAAACACGCAAAGATCCGCTTGCTGATACGCAGAAATGCAGGAGCGGCGCGAGCAGTCCGCCGTTCGTTCGGCGATTTCGGTAAACACAGAATACTTCGGAGCATTCTCTCACGCGATATTTTTAGGTGCAACGTCAGAATGACGCGAGCGCATTGTTCGAGACGATCGCGCGCGCGCGCGCACAGCGAATTTGCCCTAACCTCGTGAATGAGAACCGAGATGAAGATTGTGAACGGATAAAAAATGCTATTCGGTCATCAAGATCCAATACTTCGATTCGGCCTGTTAATGCGACTTTAAGTCGCCCGAGCGAACGTGTATTTGTGAATAATGTTGTTGGGATTCGGCCAGATCGCCAAGTTTACGCGCGTACGTCGCAAAAGAATTCGCAATAATTGGAAAGTTGCCGCACTCGTACATATTATGAACGGGTATTATTAACCTCGGTGAAAACAAGCGCGTCATCGCTCATCGACCATCGAGAAGTGTATACAAAAGCGGGCCGAGCGAGACGATCGCCGATTAAATTGTAGACCCGAGAATTAGGCGCGGTGAGAGAATGCCTCTCGCATCGATTCGTCCGCGGAGTCGCACCGCGTCGCGACGACACAGGTCTGCGTGGAAAATTACTGCAGCCGGACGGAGAGAGATCGAAAGAGCGTGTACATTCGGCCAGTGCGACGAGGACGGAGAATAAGAGGGAGGGAGGTAGGGAGCGAGCGAGCGAAAGAGAGAGGATTCATAGGACGCGAGAGAGGCGTCATACTGTCGATAAGTTTTATCTCGACGCGACAAACACACTGCCGCGTAATCCCGCGGTGCTCGAGTTTCTCGACGCCGCGAGAAAGGCGACTCCCACCTGTATTCATATTCCCTGGCGATCAGCATAAAATACGTATTTGCGCGTCTCGAGCCGGGCGAGATAAATCTTCGCATTATGCCGTTTACCGTGCTCCCGAGATAGCCTGGTCGATAAACCGTCGAGAAAAACAAGAAAAACGAGACGGACCAAGACGCGAAAGCCGGTATACGCGATATTCGGACGGGTTCAAACTCTGATGACAACGTAAATGCGCAAAAATGTTTTCTCTCTCTCTCTCTCTCTCTCGCGCGCGCGCGCGACAATGGAAACGCGGCAAATGCAGTGCGCACCGCACCGCACAGCGTCATCGTGTGCCCCTCGGCGAGGAAAAACTAAGAGTCGCGGACACGACGTGCCGAGACACGACTCGTCCGGTCGCGCGAGCATCGTTCGGCGTTCGATTGCGGTTTCGATGGAGTCACCGGATGCCGGCGAGTAACGACGGCCGAATGGCGTGTGGAGCCGTTCGAGAGCAGCGTAGCCGTCGACGTGGCTCGTCACTTTCTGACCGCGTCCTCGCGGTATATTCGAGCGCGAGCGGACGCACGACCGAGCGGATGAATATTCTAAAGCAGATTGGCTACTCACCGAATCAGTGTCTTCGTAAAATCACGCGATACAGCAGGACGCGAAAACACACGCTTCACCTCAGAATAAAAGATGGCAGACCGAAACGGGCGAGCCGGGAAGTGTGAGCCACACGGCGCGCGTCCCTTCCGACACTTCCGACCCTTGAGCTTCACGGTTGCCAACCTAGCCGCGATCCTACCCCGGGCTAACCTAACCTGGCCCGACTCGCGCCTGACGGTGGTTTCGGTGATTTTCTCGAATTGTTCTTTCCAGCGATAAATCGCTGGCGCGTCTCCGGTATAATTATTTGTAGAAACTTGAGTAATGAGACAGTCTCTCGCTTGTTATCGTTAGATCGGCGGGGCGGCGGGGGGAGGAGAAGCGGATGAATAAGCGACTACGTGATTCGTATCCCTGTTGACTTCGTGTGTCAGTGCGGTGACTGTGATACTGCGTACTTCAATTTTTCTCGTCATGTAGATTCTCTCGGCGTTGTCCCGAGATATTTTATTTCGTCAAATTTCTCATCGCTTCGGGCCGAGAGAAAACGATCGTTCATGATTTGTCAATAAGTACGAAAGTTGTCTCTAGTTTCTTTCCTAGGGAAGACGCGAGGTTCCCCAGCCTGCTTTTCAAGCCATGGCTCCTTGCGATCGATATAATTTCGTGTCGACGCAAGGTAGGAGAAATGGTAATACACCATCGAGAGGTCGAGTCGTCAACGATCTTTCAATTGATTATGCCTTTCAAACGAGGTTTTTCTCAAGATCGAATGCCAATATTGGAGCAACTGGTAATACATACATCATTTCTCAATTGAGGCGGTTCAAGTTCGTTCAAACTATAAGATAATATCGCTAAGAGGACAAATATTTTATAGATGTACAAGGTAAACCAACCGCCATGTTCGAAGTAAATACGGAGGACGTGTCTGGAAAAAGAAACGATGATATTTCGTACTCATTGAAAATATAAGTTTCATTGTTTTTCATCGACTATCTATCCTCTACAGCCCTTTTTTGTTTCTTCATTTACTTCATTTACAGTTTCTTGTTGAAAGAAGTAAAAACATTCAACAATGATTTCCGTATTTACGTATAAAAAAATAAGACGATATAACAATTTCGTGTCAGTGAGCCAAAGTCCGGCCTTTTTCTAATAATCTTTTTCATTTCCGTAAACAATTGATCCAATTACCTCTTATCCTGATTTGTCGAACGTACAATACAAGTCCCAAGGGATATGCAAAATCAGATTTATCTTCTAAAATAACATTGCATACACTGTTATTGCACGATACATGGTTATTTTCCACAATTTTTTTTTCTTCTCTCTATTACCTTCTCTGTACAAATACGTAAAAGAAAAATCATCTTACGTACGCATGACTGACCAAGATGGTCAAAATGTTTGAAAATCCGACAAATGTATGTATCGTTTGTACAAATTGGAAACAAATTATCGTACAAGCAATACAGACTTACGCGTTGAACATACATCTTATATTCGCGAGAGTTAACGTATCACGACTTTTCAACGGTTTAACACAAGTCGTAAATTTGATTAATGCCTATTAATTCATGCAATATCCCTATTTCGTTGCGCTGTATAGTATGCCGTACGTATTTCGCAATAGTCAACAACTTTTATGAAAACTATCGCAATATGTATGTACCGAAAGTCGTTGATGATAATAAATATGCTTCGAGGTACTTAAAAAAGAAATGACGTAGTCGCTAAATGTATAGAGAATCAATTGTAAAGTTAAAACCTCATAGAACGTTAAGCGCACTCCGTGTGATAACGAAACAATTTTTTACATAATATGTATATGGTTACATATAAAATTTATATAATTTATATATAAATATATATAAATCATATAATTTATATATATATATATATATGTATGTATAGTGTGTATATGTACAATATATACATCGAAACGATTTCATCTCTCGTTATGAGAAACGTACATTCATTCATTCATTCATTCATTCATTCGTTCATTCATTCATTCGTTCGTTCGTTCATTTATTTATTCGTTCGTTCGGTCGTTCATTTGTTCATTCAAGTACGCGTGCAAATTCTCGTTCATTCGTTTCATTCACGCTACTATACTTATAAACCTTAGTCTTCAGTCTTCAGGCTGCAGTCTGTCAACAGTTCTATGTACACTAGAGGATATATTTACAGAGGATAGGAAGTTGTTTGTTTAACTAGAAGAAGAGTGATTCAGTTTTTTTACATAATGGCGGGCGGAGGCACTACACGATCTTCATGCTTATATTATCGACGTGTAGCTTCGATAACGTCTTTTTCACACGAAGCGCAGTCAGGCGAACCGCTGGATTCGCATGCCAACACTCCGACATGATCTTTCCTAACGCGAATAGGACCTGCAAGAAAACAAGACAATGCCGACTCGTTAACCGATGATCCGTGTGACGAGAATAATCGTGTCATAAAGTTATTACACGGGATGATGAGATTTGTTTCTTACCGAATCATTGTCCCATCTTGTAGGAATGATCGGACGTAGTCGCTTTACGCAGACTACCAAGCGCATATCCTCGAAGTCTGGATCACTCGGCACAACATCGTGATAAGGCAAGGCGTACGACTCCACGCACTCCATCATGGAATTCTTGCCGCCCGTCACGCATCTTCTGCACGCTTCCCAGAACACCAGTCCGACTGAATACATATCCGCCATTCTGAACGCGTCGAAGCAGCTTGTATTCAGGGTCTCGTCCAGCACTTCTGGTGCCATGTAACGTCGTGTACCTACTCTGGTATTCGGCGCAATGTCGATCTCTCCGCTCTCGCTGCAGACAAGAAAAAGGACGCTTGCTACTGAACGCTTAAACATACTATATTGATGTATGTCGAGAGATGTATATTTCCTAAAAGAGATACGCATCAGAGGCGACGTGTTTACGTACCTGATGTAGCGAACAGCCAGTCCAAAGTCCGCTATGGCACACTCCCCGTTTCTCTTCACTAGAATATTTCTGCTCTTGATGTCCCTGTGAGCTATCGCAGGTTTGCCCTGTGTACCGAAGATCTCAGTGTGCAAATGCGCGATTCCGGATGCGATCGACACGCAGATCGCCAGTAGAGCCTGATGATCCAACACTGTTGTTTGCAGGTAATCGTGCAGCGAACCTCTCTCGTGGTAATCCGTGATCAGCAACATCTGAGTCCAAGAGCCGGTACCTTTGATGTCGGCGGCAATGAAGCCCAAGATGTTGTCGTGTCTCATCAGAACGGTCTGATAGATCTCGGTCTCGCGGAACCAAGACGCCTCCTCCAGCGTGAAAAACACCTTAACCGCCACCTTCTCGCCGCCTCGCCATCTCGCGAGCCATACCTCGCCGTAGCGTCCTTTTCCCACGCACTGCGACATGGCCAATTGCTTCGCGATCGTCTGTTGCACGAGAAGCGGCAGTCCTGAGCCGGATCCGCTGCTCTGATCGATAAAGTCCTTGATAGTACCTTGCGATGGCACCAGGCACGGGTCCCTCTCTTTCTTCCGACACCAATGGTAAACGAATCCTATCGATATCAGTAAAATCACGAAGGTGACCGATAGGGCGACCGCTAGAATAATAAACCGAGCGCCCGATGCGATGACAATCGGATGAGGAGACACGGTAGGCCGTGGCTCGTATACGGGGAATTGATCCTTGTTGCACAGAGCGGAGTGATTGCAGCATTTTATGTTCTTCTCTTGCAGATGAGGCACCAAGTTCCCCTTGCACTGCATGAAACCTTGTTCGGCGGGTGGCAGGCAGCCGAAGGACCACTCTGGGACGTAGTCCTGTATATCGGGGTCCCACACCTCCTCCACAGCGCTGAAACACTGGCTGCCCGGCCGTCCTTCGCAGGTTCCATTCTGTTTGTCGCCCGGACAATGCCCCTCGCAGTAACAAGTGATGCCCGACACTGCAAAGATATTGATGCGCGATATTATTAGGAGTGTCAGTCTGACGAAATCGAGCGGGCCGGGCGATCGAGAAAGGTGATGAAGAATACGTAAGACTCTAATATTAATCGCGTGTTTAGTTGTTCGGTTATTATTTTTGGATCGAGCGTTGCTGTGATCCGAGATTAAAACTTTTATGCTTCTCTCTCTAGCGTGCAAACAGTTTTAAATGCGGATGCAGCAGCAGCAGCAGCAAGAGCGACGACAAGGTAGGCGCGACACGTCGCTGAGGAATTGAATCGAACAATTACGTTACAGAGTCGCGCACGCGAGGTGTGGTAAATAACTCAATGGTAATTGATACCGCGCGCTTAGAGGAAACTGGGCGCGGAGCCGGGCGGATTCGAGAGGTTGTTTGACAAGTCGTGAGATGTGTCTCGTGTAGGCGAACGACCGTCGTCGCGCGTCCCACGGAGGAGAGAGAGAGAGAGAGAGAGAGAGAGGGGGGGGGGAGAGAGAGAGAGAGAGGCAGAGGCAGAGGTGGTGGTGGTAGTGATAGGTGCGTCCCGTTCGCAGGAGGAAATCAGAGATCTTTCATAAACGTCTCGCGCTGATATAAACCACGAACGACCGATAACTCACGCCCGCTGTAAATCGTGCGCACGCTCGTGACTGATTTATGCACACAGACACGTCGACGTTATGCACGTCGCGCGCGCGCGCGCATATCTCGCGAATACCTCGCCGCCTGACAAATATTGTCCCGTTAAAGAGTCATCGGTCATCATCGAAGAAAAAAGCGACGATAGAACACGAGACGAAATCTGAGATAAATTTTGCATGCGCGCTTTTAATTCCATTTGGAAGAACATAAAAATGTTTCTTCTGCAATGGGAGGGGTTATACGTGTAACTTCCGTTTGTATCATCGGAGCGCATATAAAATTCGCGACAGACATAACGGGCGTGACCTATAATTAGCGTCATCTATAATTAGCGACTTCTCTCCACCGCCGATAGAGAGAAGTCGCTTATCGCGGAACGGAGAATTTATCGATGCAATTTTCAACATCTGTGCTTTTCCTGTCCGTCAGAGAAAAAAAAAAAAAAATAACAGAGGAGGACCGAGAGAAGAAGATATGCTCGCAAGATAAATTTTCTATTTATTGAATCTCAGCGCTTGTTCAGCAAGGTCGACGTGGATGCGAACGGTCCAGAGTTAAACGTGCGATTTAGTCGCGAAACGGAGCGCGGTGCAATGTTGCAGAGCGAAGGTACAATCTCTCCCGTCTTCGCCATCCCGGTTTGGCTGATAACGGCGAGTCCGTTGCAAACACGGTGTCATGTTTCCAGCAAGTATGCCAGCGACATGTTCGCCGTATATTCGCTCTTTCCGCGGTGGCGAAGGCAGGAAGAAAAGGAGAAGGAGGAAGAACGAGAGGCTGAGATGCATGAGAGACACACGCGAGCCGCGGAGAGACCGCTTATCTTCCATGGCGGAATTACTCTCCCGCGTCTATTTTACGGTGACCGCTCTATTTATATCCCACGAATATCCGGATGACGGATCGATTTCTCGCGCGTTCCACGCTCACTCTGCTCTCTCTCTCTCTCTCTCTCTCTCTCTTGCCCTTGTGCAGGGAGTACGGTGGAAGCTCAATCTTGACTCTAATAACGATCTCGAGTTACCGTCGATACGGGGTGAAACTTAGCAGTCGTGGTAGCGATAGAAAGGATTGGGGAGATTTCTTTGTAAAAGTGATTCATTATCGTCACCGTTAGTCCTTTCGAAAAATGGAACGTTACCGCAAATGAGCGATAAAAAGTAACGTTCATGTTCGTTCCAGTTATCCAGGAACCGTAATTACATTACAGCAACACTTGCCTCGTAAGACTCGCAAACGGATAAAAGAAAACATCGCTCCCAAGTAGTTACTGAAAAAAGTAGTTTGTCACGAGTTTGCAAGAAACACGTTATTTCCCAATCCTGGTAATAGACGTCACGCTCGTGTTACGTATTATTTACGCTTACGCAGCTCTTCACACATACAACGTTCCTTCTTACTCTGCTTCCGAAGATAGCGGTGTACAATGGAGCGTGAAATCTAGATGGAGATAATTTATTAAACGTTTTCTTTCCTCGCTTTCAGGCTTGCACAGAAGGTCCGCGTCGAGTTGAATGAAATCTCGGCGACAATCTTACTCTCGAATCGAGGATACGAGTCTCACAGGAGCAAATCGTGATGCCCGCGTATGCTCTTCAAGGCGAGTGAGTGTCAGCTCACTGTGAGGTGATGAGGAGCGTCGAAAAAAGCTGCGACGAGAACTCGACGAGAGCTTCGAGCGTCGCGCGAGCGGCGAGAGAGGTTCCGCGCTTATCCTTGCGTATCTCGCAACGAAGCGCAAACAGCTTGTGCAGAAAAGTATTTTTCCACGTCAACAGCGTTCCGTCGACGTCTATAATCGCGCTCGCGGATGTTATCGCCGTCCTCGTGGCTGGCGATTAATGACCCGCGCGTAGATCTGGAAGAGATCCTTCCCACCGATATTTACACCGCCGATACCGATCTCAGAGCAGCACCGAGAGGCACGAATTCGCTGTCTCTGAGGCAGTAAACGCCACTCGATGGTTCTTCAATCCGCTTCCCGGAAATATTACAATCTATACGAGCATTAACACGTTGATTGTACAAAGACTTGATGGACGATTGAACACGATCGAAGATACGGCAAATAAGTGTAAAAGTCCGAAAAACGCGCATAGCTCGTATCTGCACGGAGAAAAATCCGACAGAAATATCCGATTGTTAATTTTGTTGTCCGATCAAATATCCGATTAAATACACCGGATATCTGATCGGATAACGAAATTAACAATCGGATATTTCGGATATTTTTCTCGGTGTGCCTTCTCCACTAGTCGTACAATCAATTTTCTAAGTGCAATTAGTTATCTTCTAACGCCTAACTTAGGAGACACGGTAATATCAACGCTTATTAGCGGTGACCGTCAGCGCGACGTGTTCAACGTGTTAATTTGTGCGAATTAACATTTCGCTATTTGTAGTTTGCCGGCAACGAGATCGCAAGCCGAAGAAGCGAACGTTTGCGAGTCGACCGGACGATCTTCGGTCAGACTTTTCGATCAGAGCTCGGAAAGCACTGTTTGTCGGTCCGTCCCGTCCCGTCATTGATGACAGAAAAGCTGTAGCGACTGTTTAGAAAAATGTCACACGCACAAGCGTGCGGGCGTACGTGTACGTGTTTGTGCTCGAACGCGAGTCAGAGCGCGAGGCGCGTCACGCGTGTATCTGCTTTCATGCGGCTTTCGCGACGCAATCGGCGCCCGTAATCGCACGAAGGTTTCAATGAATCGCGCGCGCGCGTGGCGACGTGCCAGCTAGCCGCGGCGGACTTTATCAGCGTGGCAAAGAGCAGTATCAGCGATAGCCCAGTCGTGCGCGTCTATTAGCACGACTATTAGCATCGTCAAGTTCGCAGGCGACTCTCTGCGCTCTAGAAACGCGGCTCTGCTCTTTTTCTGATTCTCCTTCGTTTTTTTTCCAGCTACGAAAGACTGCACGCCGCTATGACTGATCATCGGTGCGATATCCGTTACGTGAACGATCAGCAGCAACGAGTCGATGATCCTGTCGATGTGCGACGCGCGAAGGAGAAAAACAGAGAGACATGTAGAGGGAGAACCCGGGCGGCAGAGAGGTGGTCGCGAAAGATAATAACGCGCGAAATCTGCAGGATAATTTGCGTTACTCGAGACGAAGCCGGCGAAGGAACACAACAGCGCGAGCGTGTCAGGTGGATGCGAATTTGAGAGAGTCGGCTCTAATTTGCACAAGAGGACGTCGATTCGCGCTTCAACACGCGGCGGTTATCCTTCCGTTATCTCTCTCTCTCTCTCTCTCTCTCTCTCTCTCCTCGCATTACCAATATTTACAATACAAGTCAATAGCAAGTGCACTCGCACTGCGATCGTGCGTGCAGCTCTCTTCCGTCAGAGCGTTCTTCTCCGCTGCGTTCGTTGGGAGGAAGACGGAAGGAAGGGCAGACTTGGCCGTTTCGGCAACTCTTTATCGTAACTTGCCGCGTCCTTTCGCCGCGAGAGGTAATCGTTTGATCCGCTTAGGTGGTTTCGCGGAAGCCCGGCGTCGACGACGTCGTATAGGTGCAACGCGCGTCTGTCCGACGCTGAAAAGCGTCTCGGCGTCTCGGACGCTGCACTATTTTGTCGCGACAGAACGGCACGCTCGCCCTGCACACACGTGTATACATGGCGCACGGGAAACTTAATACTCCACGTCGCGTCTCGTCGCGCGTCGCGCCGCTGCAAATAATATCTCGGCGAGAAAAGCGGCGGCGGCGGCGGCGGTGAACTCGCACGAACGGATTCGCGCGCAACGCGTAACCGTGATACCGTCGCGCGATATCGTAATTTTCGCAGAAGGACAATCAGCAGTGCGCGCGTAATCCTATCCTGCCGGCGCGTAATCATCGTCCGCCGTGGTTTCCAACGAGAAAGAGCACCTTTCCGGTGGAAGAGGCGCGGCGACTCCGATTCGCGCAAGGTGCGAATCAGCAATTTGCAGCGTCCGCGATCGAGAGAGATTAAAAGATTAAAAAATCACAGAACGGCGGATCCTCTCCTTCCTCCCTCTTCCCGCTCTCTGAATCTCTTCGAGTGGAATTCCACTCGAAGGAGCAGCACAACAGCCAATCTCGAGTGACTATTCGCTCATGCAAGGTGAGCTTCCTTCCGCTTGGAATCGTCGAATGAATATTTTCACTCGAAAGAGTGAAGAGTGAATATCATGTGACTCCGAATGACGGTGTTTCGCTGCCGCCATCGACTGAATCTTCATTGTTCTCAGAGACGTCACTCCGAGAAATTTCAAGAACGAATCAAATCCTACCGTCGCAAGGCAACTTCCATCCGTCACTGACGCGTGAGTTTTGAAAAAAATCTTGACCTGCTTCAGTTAGGTAAACGTCAGGAAATCTTCAACGATGTATATCTAGAAGTGATGCAAACTTAAAAATGGACTCCGCACTGATTTATCGTTCTTTTTTAGGACCCAACAGCGATCAGTCAACCGTGATACTGCGCATCCTTGACTCAACGTACCTAACTGCAACTTCTTACAAACTATCAGTCAATCTTTGTGTCTACTGAAGTGACCGAGACAAGTCAAATGACTAGATAATCTTCCTGGGGATTCGGAGGAATCTTCTGAGTCTTTCGCGATTCTAATTTTTACCAAGCTTCCGAGACATCGCTCGAAAGAAGATACTAGGCGAACGGCTACTTACGAGCAGGCCGCATCCCGGATACGGCCTGCATACCATCCAGCCGGACATCGAGAAAGGCCGCCTTTATTCCGCGCGTTCATCTCGCGCGATACGCGCGACGGCTCGGCGCGATGTCCTTGTCGAGGCTCGCGGAAAAAACGTCGTGCGTACGCGACGGCGGCGATGCAGCGGAGAAAAAATACGCGGCGACGGCGGCGGCGACGAGAAGAGAAAGGGAAAGAAGCGGGAGATTAAGCTCGCCAGCTCGGGGCGCGTTCGCGGAGACGCCGAGAGCGGAGTATGAAATTACGTGCGGCGTGTACACACGCTCGTCGTCTCCAAGGGAGAGACGAGCGTGTCGCGTTCCGCTCTGAAGCGGCCGCGTCGACCCGCGTGCACACGTCGACGCTTATAACCCTTTGATGTATTTCGAGTCCCGTGCGCGCCGCACCAGCAACGTAAACAATCTCTATTTTCTATGGTACACGAAATAGATAGCGGCGCGCGCGCCTCGCCCCGCATTTAGCGTCCTCAAAGTGGTCGTCAAAATTTGCATCTGCGAGGAACACGAGGAGGATCGGACGGGCATATTTTGGACGACTGATGATGAACTCCGATCAGGTTAATTGATGACTGACCGGCGGAATTGTCAGCAACAATTTCGAGCTCGGTCATTTCGGTCAGCTTTTGACCAAGCAAATTGTAATTTGTTGGTCTTTAACGACTAAGAAGCTAAGGCAGTTCCGTGTATGTGTATACATCTCGGCAAGACAATAATTAATGTTCGACTGAGAGAGCAACTTTTAGGTATAAATTATAAAGAGAAGATGAGAGAATTATGTCAGTCATTTTGATGACAGTATTTTGTTTCCCATACTGGGAATTATGTCGGTTGATTCGATCGGCGATTTAGCTTAATTAGAATGTGGTGATAGTGGTCCTTAGGACAACTCTTGTCAAGCATCGACATAACCAGTTGATAGATTACCGGCAAAACTACCGGTACCACTTTCTGTAATTTGCCGTCCAAGAGCGATCGAGAAATGAATCGTTGTCTACCTTAATCCTTTGAGGCATGTGTTTTTCAGAAAATCCGAATCACATGAAAATTTATATACGGGGCTTTCTGGGATCGCTGATGACGAATCCGTTATCAGATTTTTGAAATTCAAGATGGCGCGGCCACAAATATGAAAAGTCGCGATCATTTCGGTGACAATGAGTTTTGGACCTCGTTTTGGATTCGTAATCAGCAACTTTGAAAGCTAACCAAAGTACAATTTCAGCTAATCATATAAAAATTTTATGATCCACCATCTTGGAAAATAAATTTTAGAATTTGGACCTCAGATTCGTAATCAGCGAACTCAAAAACTAACCAGAGTACAGTTTTAGCTAATTTTATGTACATTCTATGATCCGCCATTTGGAATCCACCATCTTGGAAAATTAATTTTGGAATTTGGACCTCAGATTCGTAATCATCGATCCCAAATCTTCATTTTGAGTAAAAAATTCACTCATAGCTTGTGGAAAATGATTTTTTTCTGTAAAAATGTGTATCTTTCACACTTTGTTTATTTATAATAAATGGATAACTTATGCAAAACACTTTTCAATCTTTCATGTACGTTCCCATATCATGTAAGAAGCTAAAAAACGCAAAAGAGTCCGACAAGAATCCCTCAAATATGAAATATTTCATGAAAATGTGAGAATAGGTGGTAAGCATACTTACTACTATGCCTCAAAGGGATAACAGAACAAAGCAGGTAATACTTGACTGGTAGCGATTTTGAATGATTGGTCAGACCAATCAGAATGATGAACATCAAACCTTCATGTGACTCGCATATTGACTGTTCTGAGACAAAATCAAAATTTTGATTCATCTACTTACAGAGGAAGACAGACACGGAGATAAACGAACGAATGGCATTGCAATCCGCGTGCGAACATGTGTGTGTGTGTGTGTGTGTGTGAGAAACACAAGGAAAAACATTAGAAAGAAAATTCTTCCTAAGAGCTTGTCGCCCGCACGCGTTGTTATCATTAACGAGCGCTTAATAGCGAACATTGCTCAACTGCACTCCATGCAGATCGGGAAAAGAAGGTATTAAAAAGGTGTTTGTGTGTATGTGTGTGTGTGTGTGTCGTAAACGCGACGCGGTTCTTTAGAAGGTTAAAGTCTGGTGTCATCGACGGCGTCATATCGGCGTGATATCGAATCGTGTGCGGCGATCGGTCCAGTATCACGCGTGAGCGTCCAAGAATGTTATGTCGGAGCACGAAGGAGAAAGAGAGAGATGGAAGAGCGTGCACCGAGTGTACAAGTCTACGAGAAAACGAATACCAGGAAGAAAAGTGAAAAAGGTCGCGACGGCGACGGCGGCCAGAGAGAGAGAGAGAGAGAGAGAGAGAGAGAGAGAGGAGAGAGAGAGAGAGAGAGAGAGAGAGAGAACGGCACTCTCCCGAGTCGACGGGAGAAGCGGTGCGATTCTCGGCACCGCTAGTATTTCAGTCTCTAACCTTAGAACGGCTAACCTCGTCTCTCTCTCTCTCTTTCTTCTTCTCTTCCTGTCCTGTTCTCTCTTGCCGAGACGCGCGACTTCGAGGTAAAAAAGAACGGCCGCATGCCATCTCGGCGCGCAGGAATTCCTCTCGCGAAAACGCATCGATCGCGGGATGAGGAAGACTCGAGAGCTCGAAGAACGTCGTGAGAGGAAAAACTGAGAGGAGGAGGAGGAGGAAAAAGAGAAGCAGCGTCGCCGTATTTATCGGACGGAATCGGAAAAAAACATGACGTCGCGCCCAAGATAGACACGACGCACAATCATAATATGCGCGATCGCGGCGATCGGAGAAGTGTCACACACAGCGGCGAACCCCATCGGTTCGCCCGCACGAAGGGTGACTCTTCGGTACCGCGCCGCAAAATCGCAAAAAGCGCCGACGGCACGATCGAGGGCGCGCCAGACAGCGATCTTTCACGACGAGGCAGAGAATCGGTTCGTCGTTCGGTCGTGTTTGCCGAAGCGGTCAGAAGAGAGAGAAAGAGAAAGAGAGAGAGAGCGAGAGAGAGAGAGAGAGAGAGAGAGAAAGAAACGAGCGTGCGAATCAAAGGAACGCGAAACGAAGAGAAACAGAGACAGGAGAGAGAGAGAAAGAGAGAGGCGAGGAGCGAGCGAGATAGAGAAATATGGAATGAGATCGTCAGTCGAGTTAACACATCTGCATAGCAGAAGATGAACACGGTGACGATGACGATGACGGACGACGAGGAAGCCGAGGTCTCGCGAAGGCGTTCCTCGTTCCCGCATCTCTCAATCGATTCCAACGCGCGCGGGCCCGGCGCGAGAGGAGACGGAGACGGAGACGAAGACGGAGACGCGCGTTCCGCACTTGGCATAGACGCGGGCGCGTTGATCGCTTACTTAGGAAAATGACGGCACCGCGATACGTAGCACACGGATCAATCGCACACCCGACGGTACTCACCGCTGACGAAGCATGCGATGAGCACTCCCAGGCTGAGCCACAAGCCATATTTACATCCGCGCCGATCCGCAGTACCGCAGAGCGCCATTTTCTACACTCGGGAGCACATACTTCACTGTAACATAGGGTGATTCGCGTTGCGCTGCTAAGCGCAGGCTGCCACTACTTCGGTCGTTTTCGCCGCGGCTCGGTGGGGGCGCACCGCGTTGGTGGGGCGAAGCTTCGTGCACCTTCGGTGCACGACGGAGAATGGAAATCGGTTGCGTCGGAGTGAGCGAGATGATACGATCAGGAACGTAGCAAGGAACGCACCTTTCGTTGAGCTTGTTCGAAAGTCTTTCGCTGAGCGAGAGATAATTGGGTAATGCGCCGGCTTTTTGCGACATCGCGCGGTAAGTTTCGATCTCCGCTTCGATGGAAATGTCTGTAAACATAACCTCTACGGATACACTGAGAATGACGATTTTTTGGTCTTGTCATGAATGTTGTTCATGAATGGTCGTTCGTAATTGATGATCTCGACGTGATTGATAGAGGGTAATAGAAGTGATATAAGGTCTGCGGGCCGATGTCCGGAATCCTTTAATCCAGCGTAAACTCGTAAAGTACGAAAATTTGCAAACTTCAAAGCGCATGGGAATGAGGTTAGTTTTTATGGCATTATACCTGAGGAAAAGATGTATTCGTTTTAGCTCAATATTGTTACACTGACTGTAGAGTAAGACTAGCCTTTTATAAGTTCACACTGAAAGAAAAAAAACTCATGATCATAAGTTTAACGATTTGTTTGATCAGTAACTATTGTGTGCTTTCAGCATGTAGCATTCAGCATTTTTACTCTATTATTGTAACGTGATAAAATCTAACGATTGTATGACGTACTGCGGGTGTTCTACTTATGAACGAGCGAAATATCGATGCACGCATGTGCTGTGTTAAAGTCTAAGCTGTTGTACCAAAGGTGAACGTTTATTACCTGGATCCTGAACGGTTGGGTTAGTTTTAATGTATCACTTTTTATCTGATAACTTCAGACATCTCCATAAGCTCCACTTTTGTTTTTTACTTATCGTTTATCTCCTTTTTGTAAAGAGGTCTCCCATATTTACATGGTGAATCTCCCTATGTATTTAGTTTATCTTTTTAATCTTTCAGGTTAATCTGAGGACAAGGGTTTAATGCCCTTGGGTTCTTATGTCTTCCGAGAGGATTTTAGGCTGACCTGCCAAATCTTGATTAAACGTAATCAAGATTAAACGTAATCCGTCAATGAAATTGTCAACAACAATTGCTGGTTACGTCACTTATTGTCCAACAGTAACCAAGGAATTAATCATCCTATATATATATATCAGTAAAATAGGTGTAATACTTGACTGAGGTATCGTTTATTAATATGGATTATGAAGAGAGAACAAGATCACTCTTGCTGCTCGTATCAGCAAATTTTATCTTCCTTTTCAGCAATTTCACTGGCTGAGTTAAACGTTGATTGGCGCAATTGGAGTGTATGATAAAAGCGAAACCTTCAGACATCATCGCTTGGACCGTATCTTTTGCGCGACAAGATTACGCGGATGGCGAGTACGGTCCTGTGTCGTTCGAGTTGGGAAGTGCGCGTCGGCGGCGCCCTATGGGCGCCATCGTGCCGCGCACGATGGTCGACAACGGTTCAGCTACGGCAAGCTTCGAGCAGCCGCGAGATCTCTCCTTTTCCCCTTCTTTTGCGCTTTTCGGAGCCGCGTGCGCGTTCGTGCGACGGATCGTGATACTTGGACGCGCCCGGACCCTCCGTCCGAGGCGAGTCGCGGAGCGTCGACGCGACGCGACGCGGCGCGGCGCGGCGTGGCGGCCTCTTGGAAAGGCGCGAATGTCTATGCGCGGCGCGTCACCGTGAAATCTAGAACCCGGCTAGAATCTGGAATCTTTCTTCGCTCGAGAGCGCACGGATAGCGGGATACACGCGATCACATTCACGTGTTTTTCCCTGGTACATTTCAGCGTTCCTCCCGTAATTGCGGCAATTACCGCTAAATGTCGCTGCGAATATCGGCCTGTCCGAGAGCTTTCCGAATGGAACGAACTTCTAAAAGAAGCCTGAAAGTTTCAGATGTCTCTTGAACGCCCTTAACATGTTATTTATTACCAGCATGAGTCACCGGTGCATGCATGGGCCCTCATCGTCATAATATAAGCCAAGTTTGTTTAACAAATAACATATTTCAACAGAATTGTAAAAGTATCTTATACTCATGTTCAATTTTAGAGTTAAAATTTTCAATCGCCTGACAGCAGGCAGTTCAGTTTTCGTCAGAATAGAACGTGAACCACGAGTGATTCCACGAGTGTGGAATGTGTTAAAGAATCTTTGATGATCTTTTGAAGTCGTACGAAATGTCTCAGAGGATATCTGATGAAATTGGCTTCTATTGTCCGCCTTGACAGAACCTTGACAGACCGCGTGAAATCGCCTGAATCTACCTGAGCGGACATATTCATCGATTCAACTTGAGGTCTTTCAAATCGCGGCTGGGTGAAGAACCTCTCGTGGTCTTTTGCGAATTATATTTCACTAGATACAATCGCTACATGATCGTTTTCTTGCAGGGGCGGCGCGGCTGTAGGAGAAAGAGAGAGAGAGAGAGAGAGAGAGAGAGAGAAAGGAAGGAGCGAACTTTTTGGCGGGAATCGGAAGAAAACGCCGAGTGTGCGCAATTGAACGCTACAGGGGTGTGCATCACGCTGCGCTTTCAAGTAGCAACACGCGGCGCATGCCGTCAGCGCGTCGTGCGACTCGGCACGGCGTGACCTGTTACGACGACGTGTGAGTATATTAGTATCGATACCAGATTACCGGTTAATTGCCGTCGGCGTGGCACGCTGGCCTTGGAAGATTGTTGCGCCCGAATTGTAATATTTCACGCTTCAGGAGGGCGGCTCGCTACCTCTTTCTGGCCAGCAACAACCTTTTCACGCTTGAGTCGAAACCGAATGCGCCGCGTCGGTATCACGTCCGGCCGCGGTATCGATTTCAGACAGTGCGAAAAATCCTTCTCCTGGCGAGATGCAGCGCACGACACGGAGTTAAGAGTACGAAATGTTGCACTCGCGTAAGAATAATTCGTACGCGAGATGCTTTAAGTTAATTTAAGTCGGTAGAGTTGCGTTAGATTACTTTGTCACATTTTGTTTCTTTTCCATTCCACGTTCAGGTGCGTTCACTCTGCACAATTGTAGAAAAATGGAAGGCAGGCGAGTCGAGAGTCATCACGATAGGCGAATCTTGCTCTGCCGGCGTGCATTTGATGCGGTACGTGCGGAATGAAAAAGAGGAAGAATCTCTCTCTCTCTTTCTCTCTCTCTCTCTCTCTCTCTCTCTCTCTCTCTCTCTCTCTCTCTCTCTCTCTCTCTCTCTCTCTCTCTCTCTCTCTCTCTCTCTCTCTCTCTCGCGCGCGCGCGCGCGCGTTCAGCACCGTTCTCGGATCGTGAATACCAACGACAGCACCGTGTGGCCCAACAAAAGGCGCACTGTTCGCGGGAGAACAAAGCTCGCCGTAATTCTTTCGCGCATGCAGCTGCCGGCGGCTGCGATCGGGTCGTCATCGCGGCGTGGCGAGGCGAGCGCGAAACGTCGCCGTCGCCGTCGGTTCGCATCGAGATTAGGTCGCGGCGCGTGACCGGCGCCGATCTATAGCGCGTTTTAGCCGCGTAACCTGTTGCGTGTGTATCGCTCGAGCGTGAAGTCGCCGCGATCCGGATTGAAGCGCGCGCGCGCTTTAAAGGCGTCAGTCATTATATTTTTAGAGATGATCTTCGGCACTTTTATGGAAAGACGCGTCCCTACGCGCCAGCAGTACCGCGTCTTTCCGCAGCCGCGGACAGGCAAACGGTATACACGGTATACTGTGTGTTCCAAACTGTTCAATCACTTTTCTCAAATTCGGTTGAGAACGCGGCTGATGGAGGAGAAAACTTTGCCCCTGAAAAATTCCCAGGAGAGTTCTGAGTTCTTTCATTGGAAATTCGTTGCGCTTCGAAATGTATCAACAAAAATGTTCAATCTGTTTTGAAAAACTGAGTATACAAATGCCAGCGTGAATGCAATATTTGTACTTTTATCAGATTAATCCACGAGATTGATCTTTCCCCATAAACACGGGACAAATGTTAATACGAACGAGGTAATTCTCGTGGAGAGATGTCGATAAGCGAAAAATACACGTTCTACGGGAAACGAATTAAACTTAATCGAACGTATCGTTGGCGATATATATGCGCTGTCGTGCGAAAATCTATAGACAGGATAAGGCGCGGCCTCGCGCGGATCGACGGTAAATCGCTTGTAACGTCGTTATTACGACCGCACAGCGAGCGTCGTGGCGTGACTTTGTGAAGATCGCTGATGCACTCCGCGCTATTTTCCGCGAATCGAACGACGACGACGGCTCTTTCGGTTAAAGCTTCAGCTCGGTTACCACGTCGTTGATCTTCAACGCGGCGCGCGATTTATTCTCCGGCGTGTAGCGTGCAGTTATAATGATTTGCAGATGCCGGCGAAAGACGCGATAAAAGTCGTGCGAGCGAGCGCGGAGCGTGAAAGCGCTCGCCTGAAGATGACGACGACGACAACAACAACGAGGCTTCGACGAGGCTGGTCAACGTCTTGCGCGCAATTTCTTGCAATTAGCCTACTTGAATGAGCCTCGCCTATCGTTTATTATTATCGTCCTGTGAGCGGCAGGAAATCGATACGATTGCATCGACGAGCGATGCATATGTATATGAATTAATCGTCACGCGAAGATCGAGGAGAGAGTCCGAGAGAATAGAAGAGGAGGGAATATTTGAGAAGAAGAAGAAGAAGAAGAAGAAGAAGAAAAAGAAGAAAAGATTAATAAGTCAGCCGTGATCTATCGTCGGTTTCGCGGAAAGATCGCGTCTGCCGGATAATGATTCGTCGCGCCGTCTCCGGACGAGTCGACGATTGTGCTTTCGATTAGAGCTTAATTATGAATTATTAAAGATCGCCGGACGAGACAATCGTCAACAAGCGCGACGACACGGAGCGACGGCCGGCCGATGAATATGTATTTTCGCTCTGCCGAGACGTATATATTGGTTGTATAGTTGACCGATGATCGCTAATTGTCGTGGATAATTACCGCGAGGCTGCTCGTTAACTATCCCGGCACAGTCTGCGATGCGATTTAGAAGGAGAGTAAAAGCAACGTCGAGTGAACGACGAGACGACGCTGAATCGTTCCTCGAGCAGGAAAGTATATCTCCACATGATCTGATCCTCGCGTTTTTTCCGAGAACTGTGGAAAAAATCTTCTCTCGCGAACACCCGGGCTGCCGGAATAAATTAGATCGCGACGCGGCGACGAGACGCGAGGCGACGCGATGCGAGGCAAGGCGAAGGGCGTTTGCGTTCCTCTCTTGGATTTTATAAACGACCGTAAGCGGATTTCGTGAAATCGCGCCCGCCCATCTCTTATTCATGAACGCCTCGGGAAGGTGGTCATGTCGGGCCAGAAGAAGAGAGAGAGAGAGAGAGAGAGAGAGAGAGAGAGAGAGAGAGAGAGACGACTTTTGAACGGCGCGTTAACGTAAAACGACGAGTATCGCGCCGACAATCCGGAGCTTCGAACCGGATTTTGGGATTAGAATCAGATACCCTTTCTCGGCAGCATCACGAGGCCACGTTCGCTCGTTTTATGCGGGCGAGGGCGACGGAGATCTCGCCTCCGCCACGTATCGTCAATGCGCGCTCGCTTCGGGGAACCGGGCGACAATGGGTAACAAAGGAGAGCGAGAGATAGTCTGTGTATGCTCCTCCTACGGCACGAAATCACGTTCCATTGGTCTCGCTTGGAAATATATTACTCTGGCCGGGCGACGGATGAACTGCCAAAAAGGAAGATTGCCCGTCGGCTTGTTGTGCATCGACGTGACGCGGCGGAACACAATTACTACGATCGAATCTCTCCCTTTCTCTCTCTCTCTCTCTCTCTCTCTCTCTCTCTCTCTCTCTATCTATCTATCTATCTATCTCTCTCTCTCTCTATCTCCAGCTCTCTGTCGATTCTCTCGCCATTGTTACTTCACCCTCCGTGCCATGGGTCGAGGATGTGATCCTTCGCGGTGTTATTTCTATTGATCCTCTTTGACATCAGCACATAGCGAAACGTGTCGTCCATCGAACGCGAGTCAATCTCTCGGTCTTGCTTGAAGAGAGCTGTTCGACGAGCATCTTTCTTCCAGCGAGGAATTGCGCTTGTATTACATTCTGCAACGCAGCTTTGAAAATATAGAGAGAAGGATTTTTGCCATGAACAAATTTTCCGAGACGTGAATTGTTAACGAAATTGAACTTTTCGGTGGATTTCAGATGGATTTGAAGTCAGCGGAAATTCTCGCGAAAATTCCTTCGTCGAGAGAATCAATTTCGAAAGGCGGCGAGGATCTTTCTCGCGCCCTCGATTGAGCGAGAGAAAACGTGCTCTGAATACATTTAGAGGAATCTACAATGAAACATTTCTCGATATGCAATTTGCACATTGGCTCGACTTTTTATCGTGAATATACAACTTTAGGAAAGACTCAGAAGAAGGTCTCGTCATCCTGGTGCTAGTCGTCATGTTTTAGATCTGTTCTTCGCGAATTTTCCACGAACTTTCCACGAATTTTCCATTGAATGCATTCAATGAGCTCGAAATTCGAAGAAAAGGACTGTCGAAGCGTTTAACTGTCGACAAATAATAGGATCTGTTTTTCTTTGTCCGAACTGGGTTGAACCTTTTAGAGAAAGAGAATAAAATAAGTGTATAATGTTGAAGAGAAATAGATGGAGAAATTTAGTTCAATGCTAGTTTGCACAAAAAAAAGAAAGAGAGAGAGGAAAAAAGACGTATTTAAAAAAGGGAAGGTCTAATTTTCCACGAACGTGTTCGAATACGTACGTGTCTCGGCGCGTCAAGAACACAAATGGATCGAATATACGTGAGAGCAACAATGGTGGAAGAAAGCGAGCGAGAAGAGACCCAGGGCCAGGCTCGACCGTGCGTTCACTCTGGGACACAAGTCTGAAAACGCTCATCTATTCGGCGCCAGCTACACAAGGGTCGCTGATGGTGGAAGTATATTTCATTCGTCGGGAGGAACGGAGAGTCCCACCACGGTTGGTTCGAATGAACGGACGAGTGGAAGCACAAAAGAGCGAAATCCGTGTCCCGCTGAGGCATCCGCGCAGGCCCTTGGATCAGCCTCTCTCTTTCTTGGGCCTTCTCTCCCTCTTTCTTTTCTTTACGTACAACGTAAACCTCAGGCCGGTACGTGCCGAGAAGCGCGCCCCTTGGATTTCTGTGAGCAATAGTCGGAAAAATAAATGCGCGCGTAAATCTGCCATCGATGCGGCCAGAGTTTGTCGAAAGTGCGTTTGTTCGAAATTTATCTCAGCATATAAGTTTATCTGTTTCTTTTGTGAATTTAAAAAGCGCGTTAACACACTAAAACTACCGGAGGAGTCAAGGTGGCCTCCTCCTCAGTGACTTCTTATTAAAATTACTCAGGCTTTTCCCTGTAATGGCACGTTATATTTTTAATCGACATTGACACGACAAATTAACAGAAATGAATGAAAGCTTTTCCCTGGCAATGCTCATTTTTTCAAACACACCGTCGGAAATAATTTCGACTGCTCTGGCGAAGATAGATTAGTAGTTGTAGTGTCAAGAGGAGAATTTCCGTCTTGTGTTACGCTGTATAGATTTAAGGAGGATAATAACGCGCCGGTGAAACAAGAGGCAAATAACGTGGAGCGCCGTCAGGCGTTCTTTATCGCTGTAATCTTTTATTCAATTTGTTACACGAGATAGTACGAGATAATGTCCCACGTCGGCGCGTTATTCAAATCTTCCTTGTTCAACAACGGAGAGCTGATACATGTTTCTTTCTTTTCTCTTCTTGCTCAGCGGCACATACATTGTATCCTCTCTCAAGCGACGGACTTCTCCCGACGAGCGACTCCCGGTCAAGATTAGTCGGTAGAACATTGGATAATCGATCGTAATTGCGTCTATTTGACGAAGGGTTCGGCGAGCCGGCACGAGAGTGCATTCCCTCGCATTCGACCGCTGTCATCGTTGCCGAATGTTCTAAATCGAAATATAAATCTAACGGTCAGTTGCAGAGCAAGAAACGGTCGACGCGTTGCGCTCCGCGTTTGGTTATTATTAGCCGTCGAGTAATCTCGGTGTTTAATCGCGCGTTCTAATGGAAAAAAAAGTCGAGATAACCGGCATGTCAGGTATATCTCTTGTTAATTTCCTTCAAGGATTCTCACAGGTTCTTCTTTTTCTATCTCTCCCTTGGCCTCCCTTACCCCTCCACCGTCCTCTCTCTCTCTCTCTCTCTCTCTCCCCCCCTCTCTCTCTCTCTCTCTCGATCCTCGATCCTGGATCTTAATCGACCGTCGTTACTTTCATCGTTGCCGTTTGGCGCCGAGATAATTAATCGTCCTGCTCACTGCCGCTTCGAGTGGGCCGACGAAGTGGCTGTGGCTCGGTGGTTTATCACAAAAAGGAATAACGAAAAGGCGTGCGGAGGGAGCAAGGGAAGACGAGAGGAGAACAGAGAGATGGACGGGGGGAGTCCAGCAGCACGTTGGAGTTGAAATGAATTTGCTCGATAGCTCGCGTAAAAGAGACGACGACGACGACGACGACGACGGCAACGCGCGTGCTCGACGGCTACCTGCTACGATAACAGTTCACTTCCTCCAACTGGGAACGGGACTCGTGCCTACGCACAAGCGGAATAAGGGATATCTTTAGAGGCGGTTTTTATCGCTAAGAGTCAGGTGTGAATTGGGGCCACTGGTGGGCCGATCAAAGAAGACGCGCCGCTGAAGCGAACGCGAAGCGAAGAGGAGACGGCGACCGGGCAAGATTAATCGGTGTCGATCGACAGATCGACGACGCGCCGTTCTCGAAGAGCGCGCGAGTCCTCGCGATTTAACGCGCGAATCCGACGTCTCTCAAGCGAGACGCTCTTCGCTTCGCTCGCGGTGATTTTGCATCGTCATCGGCTCGAGCCGACGTTCGCGACGATTGTAATGGCTAATTGTAGACTAATGTTCGAACTTCAGCGTGGGAACTGGAGAAAAGATTCAACCGTGGAGAAGACCACTGTAGTTGATTGCGAGATTATTTCTTCTCCCACCCTGTTTGCATCTTGCGGAGTCGTTGCGGAACCCACGCTCGAGCTTGACCACTCGTTACGGCCGAGGGCCTACGTGACGACGTCTTCGACTCATGAGAGAGCCGCGATCCGCATTCGATTTTAATCGAGCGTGATGTAATCGGGCGTTTAAGCTAATTAAAAACGACGACTCGCCGCATTTGGCGCCCCGACGAATACGCGATTTCGACGTAATGGCTATATTTAATTCGTCGCCGGCTGAGTAGGCTTTCAAATGTGCCATCGGTTATTGATCGAACGCTCTTGTCGTCGCGACGAGACGTTTCGAACGAAAGTGACAATTGCAAGACGAGAATAGGACGAGATATTGCGAAGGTGCCTCACTTCGGTCCCTTTGTTGAGTCGCGTTGAAACTTGCTGCTGATGTCGGATAAATAAATAATATTATATTACTCGATACATGATAAATAAATAAATAAATAAATAAATAAATACAAAATAAATAAATATAATATTAATTAACATCAATCGTTATAGGGGGAGGATCCATCGGAGGGGCACGTCAAAGGCGACACTCGAGGTGGCGGCTGCGGGAAAACAGTGTCAGGTGTCGTCGATGACGAGTACGGTCCTGAAGTAAGGTCCGTTTCGTCCTTATACGCACACGCGGGGACGGCAGGCACTGTGGGGGCCTAGTATAACAAAGATTCATCGGGACCGGTTTCGTGTGCCGCCTTTCTTACATTCCCCGAAGAAGCCCCGTCGAGCCGCGGGTGTGAAAACCGACACCCACCCACTTGTTATTTTGTCAAACACGAGCCCAGGAAATTATAGGAATCATACGCTAACTCGCGTCTTCTGGAACGCTCTCGCGGGGAATTAGTCTCGGCCGCCACGTGTCGTTGCGTGTCCCATGCGAAAAATTGCACGGTGTAACGCGTGTAATTCTATCAAAATAAGCAACAGTCTGGCTAATTATATTTTTACACGCATTATACAACGCGAAGAGGACATACATGCGGATAAGTAAATGTGTTGTGTGTGATGCAGTTGTATGCGTGTCATATTTTAAGCCTCGTATGTATACTTGTTTTGTAAAATAACGTTTCCAATACGTTCCCTTCGAAACGTACTTTGAAACAGAGCACATTTTCAATCGGGGAATTTATTTTTGCGTAATCTCTCAGCGCAAACTTCTAAAAAGATATTTATACGGACTTTATTCAAAAGATGTCTTACTGTTTCTTGAACGTTCTTAGAGGTTTCTGTTTTTAGAAGCTTGTACTTTTAAATATCTTTTTCTCTTACAAGTTTTTGTTGTCTGGATACTGTTCACTGAGCGTTAGATGCATTTTGCACTATGAGAGGTGTGTTCAGATCATTCTGCAAACGAATTTTACACTTTAATGTATGGTGTATGACGATCATTATAGTTGAGTTGGCACTTTGTATCGTCATAAGAAAATGTGTGTACTAATCAAAATTGAACGATCGTGTCAGTAACGAGACAGGCCGGTGGCGGTAACGCTTACGAGTATCGTTGCGGCCGGGAGTTTCGCGTGTGCGTTATTTTCAGTTGACGCGGGGAACTTGCCCGCGAACAGTAACGATAATGCGGCATAATACGATGCAAAGCGCGCGTCGATCTAATAATAATGTCGCGAAATGATAGGGACACACGTATTATGACACCTAGCCACTTGTCGTTTCGCTAAATACGATCCCAGAAAATTATAGGAATCACGTGTGTGGCGACGCATCTCCTCTCGCTCTCCGAGAGCCGGCTCGCGCGCTCACGCCAAATTATTCTCGATTGCACGCTCGCGCTACATTTTATAACCGTCAATTAAAAGTGACACCGGACAATTGCTGTTTGTGACCGATATATATATATATATATATATAAGAGTATATATATATATATATATACTCTTGTATAATTCCGAATGCAGACGTGAAATTTAATAGCCGCCCCGGACCGTACATTGTCGCTCGCGCGCAATTTTGATCAGTGAGGTATTCCCTGTCGTTATCGGAATTTCCGTCTCGTTTACCAAGTTTGCGAATACGCGTCGTTACGACGCACAGACGCACAAACAAACGCGAGGACTCAAATCGTTATCTGAAATTCGTTCGGCGACAAACCAGGCATTTCTCTCTCTCTCTCTTTGGACGATAGTCTCGGGGCAAAAAGGTTGCAATCAAGTTGGTCGATTCGGTAGAGTTTATGAAATTACTATCGCGTTGAAATTTATTGTAATATCGTCCTTTAATGAAAGCAAAATACATCCGCGCGCGCGCGCGCGCGCTCGCGTCATTTATCTTCGCGGAGGTGCGTAGCCGGCTCGGGACAACGTCATAGTACGCGAGATGTATTTCGATGCAATCACTGGAATCGAAAATTGCAGTGCATGCAAGTATTCCAATCTCGCGTTACCGCTCGCACAGCTGCCTCGCCGTGGTAGTTGCAGCGATCGCGAGGCAATTGAACCGAGACGAAACGCTGCGCGGCGGCGGCTAACCGCAGCGATTATTTTCGATGCGGAGGGTGCTGGGCGCGCCGGCCAGAGAGAAAGAGAGAGAGAGAGAGAGAGAGAGAGAGAGAGAGAGACAGAGGGAGAGAAGAACCTTTTACGGAAAAGTCGAAATCACGGTCAGACGCGACTTACTGCAGCGGCCGCCGTGAAATCGGATTGGCCTCAACCGCCGTTCGGTCGGCGGGCTTCGCGTTTTCGTTGCGCCGTTTTTTACTTTGCCCTCTATCACGTATTCCCTTCCCTTTGTGATTCCTTCTCGTCTCGGCCTCTTTCTCTCTCTCTTTCTCTCTCTCTCTTTCTCTCTCTCTCTCTCTCTCCCTCTGTCTCTTGCTTTTTTCTCTCTCGTCGTCGTGCGCAACTACGTGAGAATTTTTACCTCGAAAAAGGAAACACACCGAAAGAATTGCGTTCCAACCGAGAGACTCGAAGAGACACGTAAGACGAGATCGCGCAGATAGCTCGGCGATTACGAAGATCACGACGACAAGATCGACTTGTTTCAGTCGCTAAACACCACAAGCGCGCGCCAGTAATCTTTAAATCTTGGGATACGTTGAAATTGTACTGAGAACAAAAATGGTCAACTAATGCAAATAAAATTATCGACATTTTGGTTTTCGGCGTTAACCGTATGTATGTTTTCGTTACTTTAACAGAAAAAGTAACAAAACTCAAAGAAGATTGTTACCGTTGACACATATAATGGCGCTTATATCACAAAAGTTGTTTCCATTCTCTGCAATATCATCATATCTATAATTTCATTAGACGATTATAGTCAGCATCACTTTTTTTCTCAGTGTAGTTATGAATCATCAAGATATCGTACTTTGCGACGACAGTCATCATTTCAATTTATCATTTCAAAAAACAATTACCGAAATCATCGAAATGGATAATTCTCATCGCTAGAAAAGGATGAGATAAGAATGACGAATTTACATGCTTCTTCTAGCTGATATAATTCTTTTCATACAATATTTCTTGAGATATAAGAAACGTGAGCATGTGAGAATGTGAGCATCGAGGTATCCCTCCTCCCTTTTGTCACTTTTACACATCAGTTGAAGTCCCTTAAACCCATCAGAACACGAATACCCGAAGGACAGCTTATGAACAAGAGGCTATATCCTACTACACATCTCCAGGATATATCTAAAAACGCGCTTCAGATGCTCGTGCTGTTTAGGAAAGATATCGTTTTGCTCCTATGTGCCGTTCTACTTAAACGCGCACACACACACACACACATGCATCGAGTGCGTGGCTACCATGTTTACCAATTTTTGTCGATAGATCCTTCGCGCACGATTCGCAACAGTGCGCAGAAATTCGGCGTGCACGCTAATCGCTCGCGCGCGCATTCTCCCCGTCGCGCGAAGCGTTTCCTCGCGCTGCTGCGAGCCGCGACGGCGGGTTAAAACGAGCGGCAAAAATCCCCACGCGGGGCGGCTTCTGGCGGTGGGGGATTTTTTTCATCAACGAGACGGGCGTAAATGATAGCGGCGCGCGCGATAGGAACGCGCCGTAGGTATTTAATGCCAACTCGCCGCCGCCGTCGTCGCCGTCGCCGTCGCCGCTGTCCGCATTCTCAGGTGACAAGCCTTTATACAGCTCTCACCGCTCGCCGACTTCGCGACGAGAGACACGCGGCTCGTTTCCGCGCCACCGAATGGAAAACTATAGCGTAGCCGTGGTGTAGTAGCCGCTATACGTATATGTACACGAGAGCGGCACCGCGCTTATAGCGTGTATACGCGTTCAGCAAATAAGGCATTTGTTAAACGCTCTGCGAGGCGAACCCCTCGGCAGAGCGGCAGAGCGGCCGGTGAGACGGGTTTGGCGTGAACGTGCGGGGTCCCTTTTGCCATAATCGGCGCACACAATACCTGCTGTCCCCGACCAAGCTACCAGAGTCGGAAACAGCCGGTACGCGTTCTTGCGACTTGCGCGTATCGCCATACGCGGCGAGCGATTTATCGAATCGTTCTCGCGTCTCTCCTTTCTTGTGTCGCGACCACACTACTCCATGCGAATCGTCGACCGTGTGACGAGCATCCGTAGCGACCCAGTAAGCAAAAAGAGCTCATTATTACAACGTTATTATAACGATATTCAGTAACATGTAACGTTTTCAAAGATTAGGTGTAGAAATGAATACTCCAATTGTTTCAGCTACATTCGAGGTTTATTTTAAAAGAAAGTAAATTAAATTGTTCGATCAAAGTATTCGCCGTTGCTTTCTATAACTTTCAGCCGTCTTTCAGGCAGCTGATGAATTCCATCTCGGAAAAATGTTACGTCTTTGGACACGATAAAGTCGTCAAGCCATTTTCGAATCTCATCCACTGATTGGAAGTGCATGATCGGACAAGACGTGTTGCATCGGCCGGAACAAGTGATAATCGGATGGAGCAATGCCTGGTGAATACGCCGCAAGTGCTGCAAGACGTCCCAGCCAAGACTCATTACTGTGTCTTTTGTATTGGAAGCAATGTGTGGCCTGGCGTTGTCATGCAACAATTTCACTGGACGTTCTCCTTTGCCAGTATACGGGCGTTTTCGTTCCAATTCTTGACTCAAGCAGATTAATTGACGTTGGTAGCAGTCCGCAGTAACTGTTTCACCCGGTTCCAACAACTGATAATAAAGCACGCCCTTGATATCCCACTGAATGCAGAGAAGAACCTTCTTTCCGAAGCGATTGGGTTTTGATTTTGATGATTGGGACCGATTTTGATGATTCGCCGGGATTTACCCGTGACTTTCTGCGTTTCGGATTGTCATGGAGTATCCATTTCTCATCGGCCGCAACGATTTTCCAGAAAGAAAGACTTTCGACGCTGCTTATTGAGAAGAGAAAGACACGCTGCCACTCGTTGATTTTTGTTGGTTTCAGTGAGTTCATGCGGTT